AGCCACCTGGGTGCTGGGGGGCAGTGCCTCCCACTGGGCACATCTCTGTCCTTTTTAGGGTGCACTACTGCTTGGTTTTAAGAGATACGCTTTCCTGAGAAGACAGGAGGTCTTAAAGTCCATGAGGCCAGGGACTGGGCTGTGGGCAAAGACCTTCTTTACAGCTGAACTTGCTAGGCAGACACAAACACGGCCTTGGGTCATGACTATGTGAGGACAAGCAGGTGCCAACAGAAGACCCTACCCGAGTGCAGAAAGTACATAGAAAGAGAAATGCCACTTATCCCTGACCTGAAGGCTCAGCTGCTTCTAGGTCCAAGGATGAAGGCCCCCATGGTGCCACTCTTGAAACTCTCAGAAGTGCTGCAGAGGCCTGGCCCAGTTACCTGTCCCTGCACATGCTCAGAAGAGATATCTGGAGGCTTCTGGGAAGTCCTCCCCTTCCTTAAGATGGAGCTGGGCCAGAGCTGGGGAAAGATTGGCTTCTGAGAGACAGAACAGAGGCTCACAGCACGGGCCCGCACTGCCACCAGGGAAGGAGGGACCCGTCTGTGAGCTCCAAACAGGGACTCAGCAACTACTCAGCTCAGCAGCACCTCAGATACCAGTGCCTTCTTCGGGGCCAAGAACAGATGCCCCCGTGGACCTTCCTGCTGCCTTGTCTCCCTAGCAGGGACACTCACCATGTTCAGGGTAATGGGGAGGAGGAGGCGGAGCAAAATCCAACTTGTCCTTTAGATCTGCCTCATTCTCCTCCTGCCACTTCTGCCCGACCTTCTCCCAGAGGCTGGTCGCTGTCTGCCTGCAACACAGCAAGACAGGAGTGGCGGTCAGGCCTGGGTGCCAGGAGACCCCCTTCCACGAAGATCCTGACCACAGAAACCTCAGGGAATCCTTGCTGGGCTGGGGAACAGGGTTAGGCAATGGGCATCACTTGGCAGGAATAGCCTTCTAACAATACCAGCAAGGGTCCACCCACAGACCCAATTTAAGTAAGAGCTCTTAGTGATCAGAGATAGTTCATATGGCACAGGACCACATAACACAGAACAAGGAGATGGGGCAGTTTCTTGTGGCAATTCTAGAGCAGAGAAACCACCACTGTGGTAACTGGAGAAAAGCTCTTGTTCCAAATCAGAGGGGTAGGGGAACACCACTAGGCCCACACTGCCCAGCTGTCTGGCGAGACACTTACCGGACCTCAGGCATCTCATCACTGAAGCTGCTGAGCAGCAGTGGGGTGAGTTTGTGGAAGAAGGAGTATCGGTCACGAAGATTCAGCAGCCAGCCCCCCACTACTGAGGTCACTGCCTGCCGGACCTGCCATAAGAGAACAGAGAAGCTTAAGAGTCTAGGAAGGGTGGCTCGGAGTCCTGCTGTGGAGGGTGTTAGTCCTGAACCAGGTGTAAGGCAATTAGGCCCAGGGCTGGGCCCCACCCCTCTGACAAGTCAGAAGACTGCTGATCCAGAACCTGTGACACCCACTAGCTCTGTCCTGTGGATTCAATGTGTTCTCCTCCCCCAAGTAATACATCATGTCTGCAGTCTTCTGTGTCACCATGGTACCAGGGTGTTTCATGGGCTGTAGTGATGATAGTTTGGCATGTGACATGACTCCACGAGAAATCTACAGCAAGCAATCTTGGAACAGAAAGATTAGACCTCCCCAGGGTTTGGGGAGATGTAAATGGGGAACTACTGCTTGCTGCTCAGGGTTTCTGTTTGGGATGATGAGACCTGGGGTAGTGGCGACAATTGTGACAACACTGTGTGTGTGTGTGTGGGGGGAAGGAATGTAGCACCTTGCACATGCTGAGCAAGTGCTCTATACCTGAGCCACAATCCCAACCCTGAAACAATAAACTTAACATTATATGCTTGCCGGGCGGTGGTGGTGCACACCTTTAATCCCAGCACTCGGGAGGCAGAACCAGGCGGATCTCTATGAGTTCGAGGCCAGCCTGGTCTACAGAGCGAGATCCAGGACAGGCATCAAAACTACACAGAGAAACCCTGTCTCGGAAAAAAACAAACAAACAAAAAACCTCCCAAAAAAACAAAACAAAACATTATACACTTTACAAAATTTTTAAAAAGTATATATTAAAAAAACCAGCCGGGCGGTGGTGGCGCACGCCTTTAATCCCAGCACTCGGGAGGTAGAGCCAGGCGGATCTCTGTGAGTTCGAGGCCAGCCTGGGCTACCAAGTGAGTTCCAGGAGAGGCGCAAAGCTACACAGAGAAACCCTGTCTCGAAAAACCAAAAAAAAAAAAAAAAAACCTACTAAGCATCGTGAATGGGTGAATCGTACGCATGTGAATTATAATGCCATAGAGGGGTATACAAATAAAACAAGTCATGAAGCTGAGCTGGGACCTTGAGGCAGGACTTGGATAGGATGGATCCACTGTAGGCTGGGCACCTGCACAAGGGATACAACCTATAGCAGGGGAGAGAGGATGCCTGATTCACAGGAGCGGGGACACTGCCACCTGATACAACCTGCCACTCTGTTGGCTGACTGATATGGTTGATATGATGGCCAAGATGGGGGGGCGCAGCTTTCAGTTTCTCTGAGGGGGTGCTGGCCACTGTCTCTCCTCCTCACAGAATCATGTGCTCCCCCTTTACCCAGTCCTCTCTTTATGGGATACTACCGTAAGACACAACAGCCTTAGATCTGAGACACGCTTGTGAGCTGGACTTTGCCTTCTTAAAGCCAGCACACCACTACATCTGTAGGGCTCCTGTCTGCCAGCATCCTCCGTGGCTTCCAAACCCACCAGCACAGATTACCCCATCACTCAACCTCCACCTTGGCTCTGCACTGACATCCTTCCAGTGGGTGAGCATGCGAAGACACTTCCACTAACAAAAGCACATGGTTGCAAGACTGTCAGGCAGAGAAATCCCATTACCTGAGGGACATCATCGAAGAGTCTTTGAGCAAAGTGGGAAAGAACATCATCCACGGAACTCCCATTGCCAAACTGGATCACAGTGCCTGTGGCTTCGATGACGGCCACTCGGACCTTCCAGTGCTGGTGGGAGATGGTCTGCATCAGGGGGCTTATCAGGGACTCGGACTGCATGTGGAAGTGCTCTGTGGGACAGGGAGGCTGCTGGTTATCAGATACAGTTCTGTGGTCACCACCACACCTGCCATCTTCCTCTGAACTCTCGTAAACCAGCCTCTGCTAGCCTCAACTCCCACATTCCCTCTCTAGTGGTCCCGGCGCTGCCTATGCTCCAGGCATGGAGGTGGACATGTATATATATTTCATAAGGTTGGCTCCCTCCCGTCCAGACTTTCAGTTTAACTATCAGCACTAGGCAGGGCTTATTATTATTATTAATATTATTATTATTATTATTATTATTATTTTCCAAATCCTAGCTTAGAAAGAAAAAGCGGAAGGATCTCATGAGGCAGAGCTGTTTTAGAATGGTGGGAATAAACTAAAAGGAAGTGGAGAGAAGCAGCCTCCTTCCATCTGGGAAGCTAGTGATCCAAGTCAGAGACACAGGAGACATTGGAGTAAAGAAATACAAGTGCATAAACTTGAGTGGTCCTTCTCCACGTGGGTCCTATGACTTCTGCATAAAAATGAGCATGAAATGGGTGCGTGGCACACGTCTGAGATTCTAGCACTCAGAAGGCTGAATGAAGCAGAGTAAGTTTGATGCCAGCCCAGGCTACATTGTGAGACCTTGTCCCGTGCCCCTTCCCATACGAAATCATCATCATACGAGCTCACTTTAAGTAAGTTGCCGGAAACCTGGGTGCCCACGGAAGGGGATCCGGCGCTTACCGGGAGTGGCTCGCGCCAGAGCGGCTGCGCACTCGCAACTTTCGCGGCGCACCGCGGCGAAGGGGTCGAGCAGCGTGCCCCGCAGCGCGCGCACCGCGTCGTCCAGGTGGGGCGCGAGGGCGGCCCCGCCCAGGTCCACGGCCAGGCGGAGCAGCTGCACGAGGGCAAGGCGCAGCTCTTCGCAGGGCTCCGGCGGCGGCCGCGCGGGCTCAGGTCGGGCCAGGCGCGCGGTGAGCGCAGGCAACAGGCGCGGCAGAGCGTCCCGGGGCCGCGCGGCGCGGCGCAGGCCTAAGTCCAGCAGGTGAGCAGCCCGCGCGCGACAGCCCTCGGCCGGGTCGGTCAGAAGTCGCAACAGGCGCGGCAGCAGCAGGCGAGCCCAGGGGCCCTGGAAGGCAGCAGAATCCACGCCGGGCCGTACCGTCTCTTCCAGTGCGTGCTCCAGAGCCTCCAGCGCACGCCGCCGCCCCAGCTTACTGTCGGCCTCCAGCCCTGGCAGCAGGCGACCTAGCGCGCGGCTCAGTTCCGCAGCCTCCGCCGCCTCAGCGAAGTCCGCGGCCGCCTCCGCCTCCGCCGGCATCGCCATCTTGCGCGCGTTGCCTGTCTCCAAGGGAACCGGCGCTAGTACGATTGTGGCGGCACGCTTTACGGCAGGACTTCCGGCTGACTTGGACGCTCGCGGCGGAGTGCGCGCCTCCGAGGAGTGATGAGGGGGGAGGGGCAGGGAGTAAGGGGCAGGGGGCGGGACCAGGGGAAGTGGGCGGAAAAGGGGTTTAGGGGGCGGAGTAAGGAGCAGGAGGGAGGAGGCGAAGAGAAAGTGTAATTGGCTGGGTGCAGGGGTCGAGGGTGGGGCATGAGCCTCGGGGGCGGGGCAAGGGGCAGCAGGCTAGGCGAGGGCCTCGGGAGGAGGGGCGAAGGGTGAGGCGTTGGGGGTAAGGGGTAGTGGGCGGGAGGAGGGGGTGGTAGGCGGGGCGCGGGCCTCTTGGGAAACGGGGTGGTGTAAAGAGAAGGGAGTAAGGGGTAATGGGAAGAGTAAGAGCCAAGTAGGCGGGGCGTGGGCTTTGGGGGCGTTGCAGGGGATGGCAGGCGGAGCGCGGGCCTCTGTGGGAGGGGCGAAGGGTAAGAGGGGCCTAAGGGAAGGGGGCGGGGCAGGGGGTAGTGGGTTGGGTAAGGGGGAGGTGGGAGAGGCATGGACCACGGGGGCCGCGGACAAGGGTCAGTAGGCGGGATGCAGGCTTGGGGAAGGGGCATAAACCTCGAGGGTGGAGTGGAGGTCTGAGTAGGGTGAAGGATGAGGAATGAGGGGCCTGAGACAAGGGCCGATAGGTGGGGCGCAGGCTTTGGGGCGTGGCAAATGGCGGAGGGCGGGGCGGAGGGTGGGGCTGGCCTTTCCTCTTGAGTCTGGAACTCAGCCAGAAGTGACTAAGCTTCGTCTGGCCTGAACCTTCACATTCCTCTTTCCCCTTGGCCCCTGGGTAACACAGGTGAGAGCACATCTGTTCTAGGGCGGCGGCAGCTCAAGCTAAGCTTATTTTAAGTGGTGTAGATGTGGATGATCCTTACTGGGTTACTCGGGGGTCCTTGAGAAGGCAGGTGGGGGTCTGCTGCTTGAATCCTACCCTTAGTTTAGACTTGTAACCTCGCTGGCTGGAGGGTTTTAGGTTTTAGGACAGGCATGATATTGCCAGTGGGCCCCTGCTGGGCACTTCCAAGTGCTGGTGTTGAGCCCGACTCAGTGCTGCATAGCTTTCCCAGTAAGCAGAATGGGGGGTGGGTGCTTCCAGATCTGGGCAGCCAGGCACTTCACATCTGAGAACAGGCCTGTGATGTAGGACTTTATAACAAACTTTGCCCTTCTGTGTGGTTGTTGACATAAGTTTTGTAGAAAATTGGTGTGAACAGGTGACCCTTGGGTGTTTTGAATATGGTGAGGGACCACATAAAAGAGTTGTAAAGAGAGGGGATTGACTGAGCAAAGGCCCTGTGTTAGGTGTTATGTACTGAATTGTGTCCCTCCAAATTCAGATGTCAAAGTCTTAAGCCTAATACATCAGAATGTGACTGTTTGGAGACAGGATTTTTGCAGATGTCAAGACTGAGGCATTGGAGTTAGCTGCCATCCTCGTAAGAAGGGGAGTTAGGGTAAGTGTGCAAGCTGTGACAAGGCTTTGTGAATGTGAGTTGGGCAGCCATCAAGTCTGGGGGAAGCAGTCCTCCAGCCTCATCACATACTGTAGCATCCAGGTCTGTGAGGGTCTGCCCTGGAAGCTAAAGCTCATGATGCTGGTCTGTGGCCAGAGGAGTTTTGAGGGGGAGGAGAAAAATGGAAGTGTCCTGTAAGGAGCAAGGGGGTATGCAGGGCAGCCAGGAGGGTCTTTGTCTCTCTTCAGGGGTCAAGGAAGATGCTTTAAGTGGAGCACGGGCAGTCAGATCTACACTTTTGAGGATGACTGTGGCTGCTGTGAAGGTTGGGATGGGCCAGCAGGCATGGCATGTGGAGTCCTATGAGCAGTAATGACTTCACCTAAATACAACCTAAATACCCCATAAGTAACAGCCAATGAGGAAAGGACTTGAGAGTTGGAAATAAGATATCCTGACCCAGGACTCAGAACTAGACCTGTGTCTGGGTTTCCTTTTTCTCTGGTATAGATTTCTAGAGCAGGGCCCCAGAGAGGTCTCACACACACAGTGGCCAACAGATACAGGAAAGTCTTCTGGAAAACCCCTTCTCTCTGGCCAGTTGCAGGAGAGACGTAGAACAATGCTCCAGTACCAGTTCACAGTCTGTCCCCAGTGACAGTGGCAGTCTGACCCTGCTTGCAGAAGGGTTGCCAGTGGGGACTGCGTAGGCTGCGTAGGCAGTGTTGTGGAGCTGCCCATCAGCACAGAAACCCACAGAAACATATTACACTTATCCTCAGGATGGCGGACCCCAGAGATGTACCTTTAACCCCGCAGATGGCACCAGCAGAAACTGAGTGCCCCCACCAGCACCAGAGCACCAAGCAGACCAGGAGAGCAAGGAAAGGACTCTGGGGACACAGCCAGCATTGGAACAAGAGGCCACAGAGTCAAGCCAGACTGTACATGTGACATACATCCCCACACTGGCATTAGCAGCTGCCTGCTAACGTAGAAGATTTAAATAGAACCAGGAGTCTCCAAACAGAATAACCTAAATGTCCGGCATACATTTGAAAAAGACCGCTTATCATTCCAAGAACATTCACACCGTGAATGTAAAAAGACTGCTCACCGAAATGGATGCCAAAATGAGCCATCTGCCGAGGACTTGTCGACAGCCATGAAAATCGCTTATAGGAGTAATTACAAGAAGAAGTGATTACAAACTCGTTTAAAATTGAAAAAAAAAAGATTAAGTTAGCAACAAAAAAGAAATTGTAAAGCGCCAAATGGAAATTATAGAATTTGAGAAAACAACCAGAATAACACTGTCCATCATTAGAAGGACATAGTGGTAGACTGGAGATGGAGTGCTAGGACTTGCTTGGATCTGAAACACAAAGAAAATAGTACAAAGTGTGAACCTAAGCCAAGTTTGGTGGTGCATGCCTGAAATTGTAGCACTGAGGAGGCTGATGTAGAAGGAAGGTTCTGGGCTGCATGGTATGATCCTGTCTCAAAAAATAAAATTAAAACTCCCTGAGTCTCAGAGGTTTGTGGGATAATTCATATTTCATCAGCATCCCAGAACAATAAGAGTTGTGGGGCTAAAACATTCTAAGAAGTACTGGCTGAAGATGCCCCTCAAATCAATGAAAGACATAAAATACACAAATTCAAGAGGCTGAGTAAGCCCTCAGATGATAAATCCCCCCAAAATCCATACCGAGGTACATCATAAACTTTTTCTTTATTATCTGTACTAATGTATGTATGACAGGGTTTCATTCTGTAGGCCAGGCTAACCTGGAACTTGAGCTGTAGATCAGGCTGACCTTGAACTCAGACACCTGCCTGCCTCTTCCTCCTGAGTGCTGGGGTTTAAGGCATGCACCAGTACACTTGACCTTATCTGTACTTTTGAAACAGGGTCTCACACTGGACTGTCCTGGAGTTTCAGCCAATCCCACTCCAATTCCCAAGTGCTAGGATTACGGACATGAACCATCACACCTAGCTTTAATTAGCCATTTGGCAATGAAAAAAAAAGGAAAAACCTTGCCTGTCAAAGAGAAATGGCGTGTTGCAGGTAGAGAAGAGGCAGTCTCAGAGGCAGTCTCAACCATATCTGGCTGCTTCTCTGGGGCTACAGGAGCCAGAAGGAAGGGCATAGAATTCTTCAAGCTTGTAAAGAAAACTTAACTATGAACTCTGTCAAGCAAAATATTGTTCAGGAATGACAGAGGAATCAGACATTCCCAGGAAAAAAGACAAACCAATAGAACATGTTGCTACCAGAAGTTGTCTAGGCACAGTGGAAGCAATCAGGAGAGAACTGATTTCCAGACAGTTGGGGAGCACAGTAGAATGGCTAAAGAGTAGCAGCTGACCACCTGTGGCAGATAGAATTTGACTTGAATGTCCCCCCAGTTTCGTATGTTGAAGTTTAATTCCCATTGTAGGGTACAGAGAAGTGGAGATGTTAATCCAACTGTGGTGGATAGAGGTAAAGCCTGGGAAAGTGATGGGGCTTAGATAAGGTCACCAGGAAAGAGTCCCCAAACTTGGACCTTGATGGCTTTCTAAGAAGAGGTTTATTAGTTACTTTCCTATTGCTGTGATAAAACACCGTGACCAAGGCAACTTATTGAAGGAAGAGTTTATTTGAGCTTAGGGTTCCAGAGGGTTGATTCCATCATGGTGGGGAGGCATAGCAACAAGTAGCTGGCATGATGGCAGGAGCAGGAAGCTGAGAACTCATCTTCGCAATCACAAGGCAGAGAGCAGACTGTGAGTAGGGCAAGGTGTTTAGCTCTCAGATCCAGCCCTGGTAACAGACTCTTCCAGCAAGGCCACCTTTCTAAACTTCCCCAAACACCGCCAACAACCAGGAACCAGATAGTCAAATACCAGAACATATAGGGGACGTCTTTCACTTATACCACCACATTTCACTTTCTGGTCCACAGGCCTCATGACCACACAGTGCAAAAATGTATTTAGTTCAACCTCAAAAGTCCCCATAGTTTTTCACAGTTTCATCACTTTTTTTTTAAGTCCAAAGCCTCTTCTGAGACCCATGACAATCATAAATAAAAAGGCAAATTATATACATCCAACATATAATGGCACAGGATATACATTACCATTCTAAAGAGGAGGGTTTGGGGCAATGTGAGGAAACACTGGACCAAAGCAAGACCGGAACTCGGTAGGGCAAACACAAATCCTGTAGCTCCATGTCTGGTGTCAAGGGCTTAGATGACCCTGCCCTTCCAGCTTTGCTGCCTGTAGCATACCTCTCCCCTCGACTGGTTCCATTCTCTTTCTGCATCTCTCTTTGTCAGGTAGCCCTTGGCTCTGACAGCCCCAACATCTTAGGGTCCTCAACATAGGTTTCACGTTTGCAGCTTCACCAGGCAGTGGACCTTGGCCTTCCCACCAAGACTTCCCTGCTACATACTGCCTGGTGTGAATGGCTGAAACTACAGAGGAAGAATCCATGACCTTTCAGTCTTACATCCTTCAAAAGTCAGCACCTCCTGGAGGACACTGCCAAGTTCAATGACCAGCTTGGGACGAACCCTGGCCCCTTTGAATTATATTTGCAGTGGCTTAAAAAAAATGTGTGCATGGGTGTTTTGTCTGCATGCACATTTGTGCACCACAGGTATGCCTGGTGCCCTGGGAGGCCAGAGGCAGACATTGGATCCTCTGAAACTGGATCACACCACAGATTCAATGTTGTGCTGTCTTGAAATGTCCTCTGTCAAAGAAATTGTTCTTTACTTTTAAAGTTACCCTTAAGCTGGGCCTTTGCAGTCTATTTTACTCGCAGCACTACTACCTGGAAAGATTCCTACTATGCCTGCCCAAATGGTCCCACCAACTGGGGACCAAGTATTCAAATATCAGAGCCCCCGGGGGACATCCCCTCCCCCTCCCCCCCCCCCCCCCCCCCCCCGCTACCACCCCCCACTTAAATCACAAGAGGCCAACATATGTGTTTGCACATGACTGTGTTCTCATTGCTATGGCCAAAAACTTGACAGGAACAGGAAAAGGCTCTGTTTTGGTCCCTGGTTTTAGGGGTTTGGGTGTATATGTGCTTGATCCATGGATTCAGAAAGACCATTGTGGCAGCAAAGATATGTGGTAGAGGAAATTGCTCACCTTTTGTTGACCAGAAAATAGAGGCAGGAGAAGGAAGGGTCCAAGGACCTGTGCCCCTAGTGATCTTCCACCTTATTCCTACATCCTAGTTTGCAGAACCTCCCCAAATAGTACCCCCACCTGGGGACCAAATATTCAAACAGGAGGGGGTGGGGAGCATTGCATGTCCAAACCATAACAGAAGCGCTTGTTGCCTATTGCCAAGTGATGTCAATGCTACTTCAGGATTCTGCTGGCCAGAAAACCATTTGATGCAATGTCTTGCCCTTCAGCCTCCAGGTTCATAAGCCAAACTGGTTCAGACCACTCAAATGAGTTTCTGTCATTGGCAACAGAATTACACCCCATCTTCATGTGATTGCTTAATTATTTGATAATTGAAGCAAAAATGTGGACCCTGGGGGTGATGAAGGGGATGAGTGGGAGGGGTATAAGACTAATGGAGTTCGGTGAATTTGATTGGAATACACCATGTACATGTAAGAAATTAATGAAACATATAATAGATGCTAATAAAAAGTTTAAATTTGTGTGTGTGTGTACATGCAAGCATGTGAGGCGGTCAGAGGGCATCTTTCAGGACTAAGTTCTCTCACTGTGGTCATGGGGAATGAACTTGGGCCATCTAGCTTGGTGTTTGGTGCCTTTACCTGCTGAACCACCTCACTGACCCAAAAATGTTAAAAAAAAAATTAACACCGAGTAGTTGTTGCTATGGAAAATAGTTATAGTTACAGGGCAGTTAAATCGAGCTTTTTGTCCTGCACATGGGCAAACGCTAACATTGGTAGGCAGCTCCATCACTCGTGAACACGGTGATATGTAGAGTGGCCCCTAACAGTGGTGATCGGCCCAAAGACATTACAAAGTAGAACTCTAGAAAGTGCTGGCTGTGTGATGTTCTGCTCCGAGCTGAAACTTGAAATGTAAGAACGTAGTGGACAGCAGGTAAGGATGGGAAAGGTGCGTCATGGAAGCATGAAAGTAACCAGGAGGGGGCTGGTGAGATGGTGCAGTGGGCAGAAGTACTTGTCACACAAAACTGATGGCTTGAGTTTGATCCCTGAAACTAACACAGAAGGCTGCATGTGGTACCATGCATCTGTAACCATAGGGATAAAATGGGAGGTGGAGACAGGAGAGTCAGCTGGAAACTCCTGGACCAGCTACGGTGGAGTGCACAACATAGAAACAGACCAGAGAGGTGCTGCCTTCACAAGATTGAAAGCAAGAACTGACTCTTGAAAGTTGTTCTCTGGCTTTCATAGGTGTGGATACACACACACAAACCAGGAGTGACTGGTTGTACCAGCAACAACCAGAAATGTTTTTGTCCATGTCCCCATGATGCCATCTTAAGGGCAGCTCTTCATGCCGCTCTGTATGAATTAGCCTACTGGTGTCAGTGATTAAAATGCATGGGTCGTCAAAGGTGGCTCAGCAGGTAAGCGTGCTTGCTGCCAACCCTGACGACCTGAACTCCACAAGAAACACAAGAAACCAGGTGTGTTGCTGCTCAACTGTGATCCCGCTGCTCAGAGGCTGAGGCAGGTGGATGGACTGCTGCTGGCCTTACTGTGTCCTGAGCTGCATTGTGAGACTGTCTAAAGAAAAAAAAGACTAGAAACACAAATGGAATTTATAATTTAAAAGATGCTCAGAGTGCAGATCATACCCCAGATTTTTTTTTTTTTGAGTTGAGGACCGAACCCAGGGCCTTGCGCTTGCTAAGCAAGCACTCTACCACTGAGCTGAATCCCCAACCATACCCCAGATTTTTAATAAAAGGTTTATTTTGTATGTTTTGTCTGTATATGCGTACGTGCCCCGTGTGTGCAATACCCTTGAAAGTTAGAAGAGGGTACCTGATGCCCTGGAACTGGAGTTACAAGTGGTTGTGGGGCTGTCATGTTGGTGCTGAGAACTGAACCCAGGTCCTTTGCAAGAGCAGCCAGTGAGCTTAACCACTGAGCCATCTCTCCAGGCCTGTCCCAGATGGTTTCGCTGACAGGAAGTTCAAACACGGGGGCTGGAGAGATGGCTCAGAGGTTAAGAGCACTGGCTTCTCTTCCAGAGGTCCTGAGTTCAATTCCCAGAAACCACATGATGGCTCACAACCATCTATAATGAGATCTGGTGCCCTCTTTTGGACAGAACATTGTATACATAATAAATACATCTCTCTCTCTCTCTCTCTCTCTCTCTCTCTCTCTCTCTCTCTCTCTCTCTCTCTCTCTCTCTCTCTGGTTTTGTTTTGGTTTTTTGAGACAGGGTTTCTCTGGGTTGGTTTGGTGCCTATCCTGGATCTCGCTCTGTAGACCAGGCTGGCCTCGAACTCACAGAGTTCCGCTTGCCTCTGTCTCTTGAGTGCTGAGA